TATGGAAGAAGGAAGTAGACTTATTCAGTTTGGTTTGGGTCTGACTGGACTTGCAATTTTATAAGAATTATGGGGAAAAGTCTCAAAATGACAATTTTAGGCTTAATGCAAGGAAAGATTTTCCAAAAAATTGAAACTGTGCCAACAGGGAATGGGATGCTTTGAGAGGTAATGAGTACCCCTTCACTGAAAGTCTTCAGTGGGTGGGTCATTTGTTAAGGATATTTGGTTTGTATATTAGATGGTTCCTGAGGTTCCTCTCAACTTTGGGATTTTGAGATTCTAAATGGCCTGATTCTATCCCAGTCTAGGAAGACTAATCTGAACTGAGCTAGCTCTAGTTGTGGGGGTGCTGACAGTGGCGATGGTAGTGGTGGTAGCGATGGTAGTGATGGTGGCGATGGCAGTGGTGGAGGTGGGGGGGGGGCTGGCAGTAATGGGGATGGGACTTCTCTAAAAGGATTCAGCCCTAGATAGTTTAGTGTAGCCCAATGTCATACCCTATCACAAACAAGTAAAGGGCACGCCAGGGGATCTAAGCTTACCCCGGTATAACCACAAGGTGGTGTTGAAAGTCTGGTAATGTGGGGAACATCGAAATCGCTCTCAAGTGGCCTTACATTTCCAGGTCTACTCTAGAGCTATGCCTCAGTTTCTTTATATATAAAATAGAGATAATGAAATTTAACCTCTGTCCCTCTCATAGGAGTGTTATGATCAGATGAGATTACAGACCCAGAAGTGCTTTGCGGAAGTTTAAGAAGAACTATACAAATGGCATCATTGTTATTCCTAATGCTCTCATACGTAATTATTTGTCTTCCCTCTCTGCTCCACATTACAGCTGATAACCATGAAGAGAGGCAGTGTTTGTAATGGCTAAAGAGCCTCCTCTGGAGTCAGGAGGGCCTGTCTCTGATAGGAACCAACTTTGTGACTTTGGGCTAATCGCTCAACGATTACAGTCTGCCTAGCCTTTGGAGTCTAGACTCTAAATATAACAGAGGAATGGCTCATTGGCATCAGTGGAGGGTGCTTCCGTGCCAGGAGTTCCTTATACTAATGAAATCATGGGTCTAATACCTTTCCACTAAAGTTAAAATAAAAGGCTGCTGCTGATACTTTAATCATATTCAACTTGGATCTTTCAGGACCTTGGTGGCAGGATGGAGCCCCCAAAGTCAGATACTCTCAGTGCTGGAAAGGATGATCTGGGTTCAGGTTAAAGGCTGGGCCAAATTTGTTACCACATCTCTGGTGAGATGGAGATCAGAGAAATAAAAGTGATCAATCAACAAATTTTTAAGCACCTACTATTTACCATATACTGTAGTGGGTCCTGAAAAATAAGAAATAGGCATGTGGTGTTTCTGTGACAGTCTTACTAAAGATAATCTACATGTTGAGGAATGAAAGAAACTAAGTCCTGTGGTCATCTGTGAATGTTTAAGGGCAGTGATTTGTGCGAGCATTTGGTGTGCTAAACATATGTTTGTTTAAAGAGCTTGGAGCACTGTTAGAAACTGTAGCTTTACAAGCTGAAGTAGTCTTCATAATATCCTTGTTGTAGAGGACTGAAAGGCTAATGAGTCAGCTGTGTTACATAGCAACCAAAAAAGCAATTATAATCTTGGGTTGTATTATAAGAGGCACAGTGTCCAGGACTAGGGAGATGATGATGATGATCCTGTGTTCCTGGAATACTCAGGAGAGATAGTGACAGAAAAGACACTAGAATACTTTCTTTTTTTGGGGGGGGGGTTGAGGGAATCAGGGTTAAGTGACGTGCCTAAGGTCACACAGCTAGTAAGTGTCAAATGTTGTATGCTTTGTGTATATTTTGTTGCTTCCTCAATAGAAACTGTCAGCTCCTTGAGGGAAGGGACGATCTCATTTTTGTCACTGTGTCCCCAGAGTCTAGCCCAGTGCCTTGCACATAGTAGAAGCTTAATAAATACTTGTTGAAATTGAAGTAGGTTGTAGTTGGAAATATATTTGAGCGGGTAGACTGATTTTGCAGTGTCCTTCAGGTCACTTTATACAGGCATTTACCTATTTTGCCATATAGTGGGATAACCCAATATATAAATGTGCAAATCTAGAAGGTAAGCTCTTTGTGTGTAGGGATTGTTTCATTCATTTATTTCCAATACTTAGCACACACAGTAATTGCTTAATAAATGCTTGTTGATTGGTTAGAGTTGGATAACAACTCAGAAGTCATCTTTTCCAACCTCCTCATTTTACAAATAAGGAAACTGAGACCCAGGGAAGTTAAATGATTTGCCCAGGGTTTCACAGAGTATATCAGAGGTAAGTTCTGAACACAGATCCTTTGACTCCAGAGTTCGGGCTCTCTCCCTATAACACAGTGCCTCTGATAAACCCAAAATCAGTTATTTAGACAATTGACTTTAAGGCATGACCAGCAATATCGTAAAATTGTCGACAGAGATCTTTCATTCATGATCATGAATGCTACAGCACACCCCCTGCAATAAAAGACAAGTTTTAATTTTTCACTAAAACATAAAATGAATGAATTATCCTGGAAGAATTCTAAGAAACCACCAACTCTAACCTTCTTTGAGTTTAAAAATCTGGTCTTGGATCAATACCATTCCCTAAAGTCAGTGAAGCCCATGAAGGTCTCAGAATAGGACATTTATCCTGCTTCAATTTATCCATTGCTTAAAGAGGCCCATCGTCTTTTGAACTAGGAAAATGATCTGTGCTAGAGTGGTTCAGCTCAGTGCTCCATAAGAATAGAGGGGGGTAATATTTCTAGACACCATAGATCACACGGCCTCTCCCCCCCCCCCCCCCCCCCCCCCCCGCCCTTAGCCATTTCCTTCCTCCCAACAATCAACAGCATATACAGTTATGTCAACAGAACTCAAAAAAGCAGGCCCCCACCAAAGGCAGGTCCTGCATGAATTCAGAGGCCAGTTTGAAGCAAAGGACAGAGTTAGGTGAAATGATCCAAGACTTAAGTGTCCTTGATAAAAATGTGAAGAGACTAAAAGTGTTCATTTTAGCGTCTCCATCACGGTTTGTAGGAAGATTATATTTATATAAGAAGGGGTAAAAATGACTAAGAAGTTGAAAAAGGAGGAAAAGCCAGGGGGAAGAACAATAATAATAACAATAAGAACAACATTTATATATTCCTATATAGCCATGGTCCAAACCACTCTAGCACTGAGCATTATTCTAGTTCAAAAGATGAATTTTCTTTAAAAGGGAAAACTTGTACAGGGAGCTGTATCACGTTAAAATGGACCTCGTTAAGCAATGGATAATCATGTAGCCCTTTTAAAGTTTGCTGAGTGCTTTACATATATTATCTCATTTGATCCTTACAACCACCCTATGAAGCAGATGTTATTATTATCCCCATTTTACAGAAGAGGAAACTGAGACTCAGCTTGAGTCTTGCCCAGGGTCACATAACCAGCTATTGTTGTTATTGTTTGTCTTTTGTTTTTGACCAGCATTGTCTAAGGAAGGATTTGAAATTAGTTCTTCTTGATTCCAAGTTCAACACTATCCATTGTGATGTGAAAAAAAGGATGACATTCATGTGTGAAGAGAAAACTATCCCTCTAAATTAAAAAAAAAAGATAGAAAAGGGATTCTCCCCCCTCCCCATTTTATTAGGTGCTATTCCAGGATTAAGTCTCTCCAGACTCCTGGAAGCTGGTGGTCTCTCTTCCAACCTCTATCATTTGAGTGTATGCCATGCAGCAAAACATAATTGAAGTTTCCATTGGTACCCATCAGACAGTTTTGGCTAATACTACCTTGCTCTCTGGGAGACCCACAGAAAGGAGAGAATCCAAGAGCACCAGAATCCAGAGGTGGTGGTAGCTCACTGGGTCACTACTGTGGACCTCCAGCATCCATTAATGTCCACAGGGGTGACTTGGGTCACCATGAACCATTTGATCACATGGAAAAACAGAAGTTGGTAGAAGGTTCCCAGGCAAGAATATTGGTTTGGGATGCCAGCAAACAAATCTCACCACCATAATAGCAAAATGAAACTGGAATAGGCAGGATAGACCACTGGTAACTTATATTTGCTTATTTCAGACCTTTTTTTTTTTTTTCTGGAATACATCCATTGTCAGGAAAACGCATTGTCTTAGAACAGGAATGTAAAGATTTGGGAGACTGATGGGGATGGTGGGGAGGATGGAGAATGGTGGTGGTAATGTGTGTAAAATTCCAGTCAATAAAGTGCTGCCCCCTGCCTTACTGACACACAGAGTGTGCCCTCCATGGTGATACCAAGGTTTACTGGCTACTGCTTAGTCTACTCACTTCTTACAGAAATGCTGATTGCAGTGACTAATCAGACCATTTTTGTATGTTCTCATCAAACTCTGTTTGGCTGGAACTCTGCGCTCTCTGACGCTTGCATGCCTACTAATTTACTCTTAGCATTTTCTGTACTTGCTTCTGTAGCTTCACAACTAACCGACTGGCCTCTGAATGCATGAATTCTGTGACTGACCAGCAAACAAATGTTACTTGTCATGTTGTATTTTAAGAGTCTCGTAAGATATAATTGAAGTTCCTGTTCTTTTGACCATTCCCACACTGACTGGTAAAAATCAGCCAGAAGTTACTTTTATCATCTATTTAATGGACCAGTATTGCTTGCTTTTATTAGCTCTTCTATCTTCCTATCTAGCGATAGACCACTTGGTCTATGTAGTTGCCATAGTTTTACAAAGTATGATTCTCCATAATTTCATTTGGGCAAACCATTATAATTCTGAGAGTCAAGAAATAAAATTTTCAACATTGAGTTGTGAATGACATCATGATCTATTCACAAGCAATTAGTGAGCATTTCCAGTAGGAACTGTATGCCATATAAAAGAGAATTCAAACTAAGAGAATACATTTGGTTCTGAGCCAGATTTTTAAATAGTGGAGGTTGCTTTTGGTCAGTGACATCCCATTTATTTCATGTGTTTTCAACATCTCAGGACTTTGTCTCCTGCCAAGTCTCCTTCTTCCTCTACTGGATCTATTGCCTCCAGCAGGAAATACCCGTATCCAATGCCTCCACTTCCTGATGAGGAGAAGAAGGCTAACAGACAAAGTGCCAGGGTAGGTACAGCTACTTTCATGTGTTTATTTGTTAATATGCTTATTTATTCCTTTGTATATCATTTAATTTCTCTGGCTTTCAATTTTCTCATTTGTAAAATGAAGAGCGTGTGTGTGTGGTGTGTGTGTGTGTGTAAAACTCTAACCAAATGTCCCTTCCAGTCTCAAACCTTATAAGTTTTACAGAACTACATTTCCCTTACTTTGTTTAAAATTGCAACGTGTAGTCCTTACATCAGATATTTAGAATATTTATTTTTGCATGAGATCTTTGCATGTAAATCAGTAAAGTCTACTTGGCTATTTTTCAGAGGTATTTGGTATGTAGGTCTTCAATTAGCCAATAGATCCTCCAGAAAATTAGCCAATAGATCCTACAAAAAATAGTCAGATAGAATATTTTGGGAGATTGATTTGGCCTCTGGTTGCATATTTGGTTTTATTTTATTTGGTTTGATTTTATTGAAGAGAGGGAGAAAATGCTAGGAAATGTGTTTTGACTTTGAGAAAGACAATCCATGCACTCAATTTCACGTGCATAGGAGGCATCTCAATTGGAGCATATTTTATGCGTGAAAACTCCAACTTAAGCAGATATGTTAAGGAGTGTTTTTTCTTCCTGTAACTGATTCCTTTAAGTAGCCAGCTCTCTTAGTACATTTGAGGGAGGATTCTGCTTAAAACATATGATTTTCTAAAAAACATCTCCTGGATAATTAGATATACTATGCATGGAAAGGTAAATCAACATGGGAGACATAAGAGGGAAACATAGATAAAACCTGCCTTGCACTAGTGATGTCCAGTCTCTGTTGTGATCAGATCTGTTGCAATGCAAAGTAGAATCTCAAACTTTCATCAAAGCAAAACTCAAGAGCTGCCTCCTCCATGAGGCCAGGCCTGTTGCTCCCTCCTCCCACCATCTTGCCAGTTACTGTCATTCTCTACATCTCAAAATACTTCTGTATATACTTTATATCTCTGTGTGTACGTGGCACATTCCCTTCATTATACCCCCAAAGAAGTTTCTTGGGGCCAGGCACGGTTTCATTTTTCTTTGTATCTCTAATTCCTGGTGTGAGATGTAGTGTGGTGTTAGGGACAGTGTGGGGATGGAGAGAGAGAGAGAGAGACAGAGAGAGAAAGAGAGACAGAGAGAGAAAGAGAGAGAGGGGCAGCTAAGTGGCGCAGTGGATAGAGCACCAGTCCTGAAGTCAGGAGGACCTGAGTTCAAATCCGGCCTCAGACCAAACACTTGACACTTACTAGCTGTGTGACCCTGGGCAAGTCACTTAACCCCAATTGCCTAAAAAAAGAAGAGAGAGAGAGAGAGAGAGAGAGAGAGAGAGAGAGAGAGAGAGAGAGAGAGAGAGAGAGAGAGAGAGAGAGAGGGAGGGAGGGAGAAAGAGATAGCTAGATAAAGAGAGACAGCGTGTGTGTGCTAGGATTCAGATGAGAAGATCATCTGCTACATTTATAAACCGTGCCACCCTTGGCAAGTCACTTGCCCCCAGGACTTTAGCCCATTCTCTACAGGGGTTCTTAACCTTTTGTGTGTCATGGCCCCTTTGGTTGTCTGTTGAAGCCTATAGACTCCTTCTCATAATTATGTTTTAAAACTGATAAAATAAAATACTTAGAATTACAAAGGAAACCAAGTATATAAAAAAACAAACAAACAACAAATTCACTGACCTCAGGTAAAGGACTCCTACACCACGACCATAGGATGTAGAGAAGGAGCTGATCTGTATTGTTAGAGTGCGTTTTCTCCTCTGGGAATTCCCTATGCCAGTGAAATCAGAAGCCCAGTAGGCCAAACACTAGGTATATGACTTATCACAATTTTTTCCTTATTGATCTTGACCTATGATTTCATTGGTGTGGGGCGCTCCTGATGAGGAAATTATCCCTCTAGATGCCGCTTGGCAACTCTAATGCAATAATATGGTTTTAGATTTTGAAAGCTGTGTAGGGGCACCGAGAGGGTAAGTCACCTGCCCAGTGTTAGGTAGCTAGTATGTGTCAGAGGTTCACCACTCGAACCCAGATCTCCTTGACTTCAAGGCTATGCCATGCTGCCTCTGCTTTGCACATAGCAGAGATGAATAAATGTTTGTTGAATCTAACTGAATTAGATTCCAAAATTATACCTGTAACAGCAGATGTCTGGGACCAAGCATCCCTGCTCGTAGGCCCCGTCCCTGTGTTCTTTGGTTTCATCTCAAAGACAATGAAGAGGAGGGTCTTGGTTATGAAATGAATGTGCTTTCAGGTATTTATAAAACTAGCTTCTAAGCCAAGTGCAAAGGGACCCTTGCAGTATCAATCAGTCAACAAACATCTAAAGATGTGATAGGTGTTGAGCTTGAACTCTGCCTTTCTCATTCCAAGTCCAGGTCTTTTTTTATGTCTTTGGCTTTTTACAGGGAAACAATTGAATAAGTTGTCTGAATAAGAGAAGCCCAAAACGTTGACTCCATGTCAACAAAAATTTACTAAATGCCTGTTGTGTGCAAGGCCACTGCTAAGCACTAGGGAACCAAGGCAGAAACAAACATTTGCATTCTCCTGGGATGGCTTTCCCCCACACCTAGAATGCTCTCCTTTCTCCTCTCTGATTACTGACTCCCCTCCCCACTTTCTATAAGTCCCAACCAAAATCTCACCTTCTACAGGAAGCCTTCCCTAACCTCTCTTAAAACCACTGCCTTCCCTCTGTTAATTATCTCTATTTATCCGGTGTAGGGGGCAGCTAAGTGGTGCCATATTGGATGTGCTAGGCCTGGAGTCGGGAAGACCTGAGTTCAAACCCAGCCTCAGACACTTACTAGCTGTGTGACCCACAGCAAGTCACTTAATCCTGTTTGCCTCAGTTTCCTCATCTGCAAAATGGGCTGGAGAAGGAAATGGAAAACCACTCCATTATCCTTGCCAAGAAAACCCTAAATGGGGTCACGAAGAGTTGAACATGATGGAAGAACAATTTATCCTATATATAGCTATTTGTTTACATGTTGTCTCCACCATTAGATTATAAGCTCCTTGAGGGCAGGGACTGTCTTTTTTTTCCCCCTTAGGCAATTGGGGTTAAGTGACTTGCCCAAGGTCATACAGCTAGTACGTGTCAAGTGTTTGGTCTGAGGCTGGATTTGAACTCAGGTCCTCCTGACTTCAGGGCTGGTGCTCTATCCACTGTGCCACTTAGCTGCCCCACCAATTGGGTTTTTATTAGCATTGCATGAATTAAATCAACAACATAGGTACAAGTAGGGAGACTGGTAGCCAAGACCAGTGATTCCATTTCCTTGAATCACTAAGACAACATGCCTTTGAAAACAACCAATCCATTCTCCTTCTCTGTTGTTGAGTTGTTTTTCAGTTGTGTTTGACTTTGTGAAGTTTTCTTGGCAAAGATACTGCAGTGGTTGGCCATTTCCTTCTTCAGCTCATTTTACAGATGAGGAAACTGAGGCAAGCAGGGTTGAGTGACTTGCTGTGGGTCACACAGCTAGTAAGTGTCTGAAGCTGGGTTTGAACTCAGGAAGAGGAGTCTTCCTAATTGCAGGCCCTGGACTCTACCCACTGCACCACCTAGCTACCCATTCTCCCTCTACCCTTTTAAATATATTTCTTTTCTAGGGTCCCATGAGGAATATGGTGAACTTGATTCCAACTTTCTAAACTCATGTTCTTCCTTTTGTTTTGTGCAGCTATGGGAGACATCCATTTAAGACCGACTGTTTACATGTGACACATTGGAACTGTTTACTTCAACTTTTATGGAAATTCAGCCTCACCGAGTCGACGCAAATGTATCTGCTCCTCAGATGATATGAAAGACCCACAGAGATGCCAAGGAGGAGAGAGAGCTGCATCTCATCCCTGGATCATATTTTTTTTTTTCACTGCTGGCTTACATTTTACTCAAACCATGTAAAGAACACTGGGGATCATATAACATAACACAGAATAACAAATAGTCTGAATAGAACCAAGGATAATCCGCATGACAGATAGATAAATAGGACTACGAGTATTTCACAGGTCCTCAATATAGCAAGTTTCCCAGATAGGAAATGCAGTCCAAATGAGGCCAATTGTGGGTCCAGAACTGGGTACCTGAAGCACATCCTCACCGTAGACCATAATGCTATGTGCATGAGTCTTTTTTAATTTGTTCTCCACATTTAAGGAAACAACATACCATAGTAGAAACTAGCATGCAGGGTTAAGACATAATGGGGCTCTTTCTGCAGGACTGTAAGCTATGAGAGGCTAATAGCCTACATACACTTTAAAAAACACATCCTTTTTTACTTTTTATGTTTATATTCTCAGTCTAGAAGTACAAATGTACATAAGTAAACGTTTTTAAATGTCAAAAACAACTGTTACACACAAGTGTATTTTGCCAAATGCCTAAACAGTCTCATGACTAATAACCATCGTTATAGATCCAATGGTCTTCTAAGATGATGAGCAGGTTAAATTGTAAATATAGAAGTCGGTGATGTAAATGTGTTTCTCCAACACTAGTGTCTGACCAGAACATCCGATGTCCCTTTAAACCGTGGGCATCCTGGAGGCTTGGAGTAACTGATCAAGACATCGAAATGCCAATCTGGGCTTCCTGCCCCCAACGTTGTGCTAAAGCAGCGCATGACAGCTGGTGCCCTGCAATTAGGTCCTATGTTGCTCTCTGACCTAAAGGTTGTCCGATCGTTCACATTTTTCTTCCAGCAACATCAACGATACTAACTCTAGCAGCTACTGTTTTTCCAAGTATTTATTACTGGCACATTTATATTGCTAGTCACGAAGAAAACTTGGAGCTAGGTAACAGGAGGTTACCTGGAAGAAAAACAAAAAACAAAAGAAATGCACCAGGCACTGCTCGGACAACTGGAGAATACCAGAAGTTTCCATCCTGGTAGGCTAATAAATGAAATCCGAAGAGGCAATACACGTGTGTGTAGTATCTGCAAGGTTATAAAAACAACTGATGGGAGAAAGCTAATATTTTGAACCTTGAATTTTATTTTTTGATTCACAGAAAAATAGGAATTCTAATTTCAAAGACTCTTTCCTCCAGTTCAACCCGGTGGAAGACTGGAAGTTGGTGATGGTCCCACTAGGCCTTCCTGAATGTGGGATGTATTCTAATGAACTCCCCAAGTGGTGGAATCAATCAGACACTTGGTGATGATTGATTTGTACTGTATTTCTTTCTCAATCTCCTCATTTCTTGACCCTTTTCCTTGAGATGAGTGGACAGGAACAGGCAAGATTTCAAAGATGGCCTCTTAATTTGCTTGTTGTTGCTGTTTGGTCATTTCAGTTGTGTCAACTCTTCATGACCCCATATGAGGCCTTGGCAAAGATACTGGAGCGTTTTGCCATTTCCTTCTCTAGCTCATTTTACAGATGAGGAAACTGAGGCAAACAGGATTAAGTGACTTGCTCATGGTCACAGAGCTAGGAATTGTCTGAAGCCAGATTTGAACTCAGGAGGATGAGTCTTCCTGACTCCAGGCCTAGCACTCTATCCACTGTACCACCTAGCTGCCCCTCTTAATTTGCTTCCCCCCCATTAATTTCCATGAAGGAAGCACTCACATAGAAACAATGTGAGCATCCAGCATGGATGGCCACGCTCTTAAGCAGATTTCTGTACTGTTTTTATGTTCATGCCTTCTGTAATGTACTTCCTTTGACTATATGTCTTCAAATATGTTTTCAAAAAAGGAATCTCACCCACTTTTAAATACAAAACACATGGAGCATTTTAAAGGGCAGGGCATGATATGACTTGAATGTTGATCTTGTATCAAAAATGCAAAACCTTCTTGCAAAAGTTAGGGTAAGAATTGGGCAACATGATCAAATGGCCGATGCCAAGGAGGGCCAGGAGATTTTGAAGACTGTGCAAATAAAAGTGGCTTTTGAACAAGACCTCTCCCTTTAATGTGGATTGAATGTTCTCCAGTATTGAGTATATGATGGGTACTTTAAGCTTACATGGAACAGATGAAGGAATTTAACAATTTAAACTTCGTGTACCTCATAGGAGCCTGTTGGCCAGTTAGAGTTCGCTCCAGTCTTGTCAAGGAAAGAACCCAGTTGCAACCACGAGGCCACAATCTGGTCTTTCTTTCATTCCCTTCTCCTCTCCCATTATTTTCAATGGAAATGATGAACATGTGCCTTTCAGGGGATACTGTTGGAAGGAAATCCACAATGGCAGGCAGCTGGCAGTCAGCTCATGAGCACTGTTGGAGCTCCCAACTCTCTAGGTCACTCCCTTTGGTGATCTTCAGCTAGAAGTGATGGAAAAAGAATTTTATGTTTATTACAATGATTATGTTGTTCAAAGTTGAGTGATTGTCGTCAATGTTATATCATGGCTATGCCATTTTGTTGGGTTCTTTCACACAGATTATTAATGATAATTAATGTGACTGGAAACACATTCTTTTGGAAATTGAAATATGTCAGATCTAAAATCATAGGGCTTTTGATGAACTCACCCAAAGAATGGGTGCATAACATTAAACGCAAGCACAAACAACTTTTATAGATTGGTTTTAGAGGGATTATGGGGTCATAAATTCGTCATTTAGTCCAAACCCACTCCTTTACAGATGCAGAGAGTGAGAGACCCAGGGAGTGATTGCTGAGGTGGAGTGCCAAGATCACACAAGAAATAAGTAGTTTTGATCCCAGGTCTGACTCTAAAGCCAACATCCCTGCCATGCACCATCTTTGTTTCCAAGGAGGGAAACAAAGGCATCCCCTGAATCATATTCTAAGAAACTGACCCATTGCAGAAGGCCATTGTAATATGGTTGTACTAAGCACAGAATAACAATATTGGGACCTTTACACTCTTCCTTTGAACCCCAGCTCTTTGTCCTTCAAGCTTTGAACTAAGACAGAATGTCAGAAAATTTCCGCTTGTCAAAGACAACTGAAGGACTTAAACACAATCCTTGATTAAAAGGAACTGTTCAAAATCCCCTGATAATTATACTTCTCATTCTCAGCCAACCTTTCACTTCCCCCCTCACCATTAATATAGGTGACCAGGGAGGCCTCTGGAAAGGAAAGTTCTGCCTCAGCTTTGAAGGCTCTCAAGAAAATTGGTCAAGTGGCCTTGCATTCTGACACAGCCATACTTCTTATAGGCAGGAAGCACAAATTGCCATGGAATTCTATAGTGACAGTTAATGGTCTCCATGAGGGTGAATAGTTCACAAAGAGAAAGGAAAAACCCCAAAGTGAAAAGTGGCCACTGGAAAAGAATCAACCAGTCCATGGATATTGTGAAGCATTCTAGGAAAATGTTTCCAAGACCCTTTTGTCATGGCTGTATTTTATAGAAGACCAGAATCATCCCTAAGGAAGGAAGAGAGAATTGTTCTATGTGGGTTTTGTTTAAGCTTATTAATGAATCCAAGGGTGTTTGTAGGATCAAGTTGTAAAAGTAGCCTCTAGTTTTGAACCTTTGCTTCAATCAAGGCCATTGAGATATGTGGTTTTTCTAAAAGGCTGGTTTAGCAAAGTTTCTTGAGGTTGATAGGAGCTTTTCTAATATCTCAAAAAAATTTTTTTTTTAAAGTTTTTGGTTAAAAAGATCAAATGAAACATTCAAGGTCATATAATGAGTTAATGACAAAGTTGGGACTAATCCCTAATCCATATTTCTCCAGATATCTTCTGGTTAGCTAACTTTGTTTTATACTTTTAATTATTGCCTTCTGGCCAGACTCAGTATTTCTTTCCTCTCTTTCTGGTGTTATTTAATTGATTTAGACTTTCAGGCCTTAACTCATTCTCCCAATGCCATAGTTTAGATCTGCTTAAGCCTCACATACAAAGCTCTATTAAAATTTATTCAAAGACCCAGCCCTACAAATCTATGGTAGTTTTACCGTATCAGCTGTTATGCAGCATGATTCAGAGAAGTCTTTCCCTAGAGGAGAAGAAAGTAGGGTCTCAGTAATTCCCTGCATATACCTCTTATTTAAAACAGTACCTGCCTTTATTAGCACTTTATATATCTAAATTTAAATATATATACATATACATATATAATATGTGCATATTACATATATGCATATAAATACATAAAACAAGATACTGTTTATCCCTTGATTCCTTGTCAGTATCTCATATATTTTTCCCAGTTATTTACAATGCCACCCAGATCATCTTTCTCAGCTGCCTGGATTGGATTTCAAGGAGAAACTCCTTTGTCCAAAACATTCCCTTGATAAGTATCCTCCTGACCCAAGCCAAGTGCTTGGTTTAAGGGTGCAGATGTTCATCAGAGATCTTTTTAGGGGTGCAGTCATGCATCAGAGATCTTTTCTAAATAGAATAGGCCTTTATGATTATGGAGATTATGAATGGGGAAAAGGGTTCTTTCAGCTTGATAAGGGCAAAATGTTGTCTAGATGTTCCTACCTATGATTTTCAGGGGGAGGAAGGGGTCTGACTGCTCCTGCACTCTCTAGTGGAAATTGACTGGTAAGCAAGCAGCAATACATATGGCCTCCATTTCAAAACGCTTGCTGTTAAGATGGCCTCACTGGGAAATATTTGCTGGTGCTCACCATCAAGTCTGCTAAGCACAGCTATTTCCCAAACATCTACCCATGCACCTATGAAGCAAATGAATGCCCAGCACCATCTTAGACAACTCCCCTTTTGTTAATTGTTTCAAACGTATCCCAGAATACAGACCTTAAGTAACTACATTTGTGAAGTAGGATTTGTTCTTATAAACCCAACCGCACATGTGCACTGCCTACATGTGGCCACCTATCTGGCGTGCTATGAGATACTGCAGAGTTCTCCATCTTCCTTAAAGGCTTGCTTTTTCCACCCACCTCCATTACCAGAAATTTCCACCATCACAATCATTTTTGAGGGCTAGAAAGCAAATTAAAGCACACACAGATACAGCGGGAAAGCAGGGAAGGAAAGCCCTCTTCATTCCCATATCAGAAAGGATTAGTTTATCAGGGTTGACAAATTGTTACCTAGGAAGGCAGCAAAATCTTATTTCAGTCTCAGAACAAATACAACAGCATGAATGGTTAAGGGTCACTCCTGACTTAGGGTGTGGGGCACCTGGGCCCTCTGGGCAGCTAGGGGAGAAGCCCCTTCAATTCACCTGCTCCCCAGTTTTGCTCAGTCTGCCACCATGGGTGTCTTTCCAGGGTTGCTCACAATGTTGCTGTTTATCATACCTGTCCTATTATTCAGAATACTTGTGTCAAACAATGGCAGAGACATTTCCTCCCCTTTGCTACTAACCAGCCCCGTGTCCTTAAGCAAGTACAAGTGCTCTCTGACTTGTTTCTTCATCTTCAAAACTGGGGAGTGGGGGGCTGGACTAGATCAGGGGTTCTTAACTTGGGGTGCAACACTGACTATATAATCCCAAGGGGTCCATGGTTAAATTTCAGGGCTTCTGTGAACTTTGATGGGGAAAAAAATTCCATCTTTATCTTCACTAACCTCTAACTGAAATCGACCATTTCTTTCAATTATGAATGTAAGCAACAAAGCATTATTCTGAAAGGGGATTCATGGGGAGGGTAAGGGGGCTATAGGATTTCATGACTAAAAAAAAAAAGTTAAGAACCCCTGAACTAGATAATCTCTGGAGTTTCTTCGAGATCTAACAGCTTATGAATCTAAGTATATAATCAAAGGGGTTGCTACTTAAATTTGCCCCACTGGGTTTCCTAAAAGTCCAAATATTAATACATAGAAAAGTAGGAGAGTATATATAAAGCAAAACTTATAGAAATGTATACAGTGAGGCACCAGAGGGAACTGATAAGATCCAACCTATAAAGGATGAATAAGTCTGTGAAAAAAGCAGTATTCTCTACCTTGTCTTCCTTCCCCCCTTTCCCATCCCTCTGTATTTCTATGATTTAAAAATTGTTTATTCTAGGCCTAAGTGTCTTCTTATTTTTACCCTGAGGGCCACAGTCAGCTGTTTATGGTCAAGATAGAAATTCTTGCAAATAGCCCAGATCTTTAACTATAGCGGTGCTAGTGACAATACTATATATGATGCAAGACAGCCAAGTGCTAATACGATTTAACACATTTATTCAATTATCTACAAAAATTCCTATTAAATTATATCTGTGTATCACTGCCTGGTTATGAAACCTGAGTTTTCTAGTCCAGTACATATTCAAATTCTGAGACTGGTCATAATCAGTCTTTTTATGGGCAAAAATTACAAACACACACCTAATGTTTTATATAGAATAATTTTTTTTTAAACAATAACTGTACAAGTACAAACTAGTTTCTTCACAAAGAAGAATCACGTACTCTTTTCTAACTGGTTGGAAAA